GGCTTCCCTTGGTAGCTTAGCCCGTTACGGAACTGTAGGTAGGGTCCGCACRGCTGGGAAACAAAATGCTGCGTTGCTTTTAGTTTAGCTTTAACCAGGATCGCAGCCTACTTCACCGCATGGCCCCACAAGAGTTTATGTTGCTCGGAGGAAGAATAAAGGTCTGGGGGTGAAGAACAAAACCTTTGGAGTGTGCTGCAAGTTTACGCTGCCTTAAGGATTCCGTTAGAAATCCCTTTCACAACAGGCTTCACAACTGCATGCAGGCGGCGGCGCTGCGGCGGGGAGGCTTCCCCAGCCCCCAGGCTGCCCTCACGAGACACTTCTGTTCACCTCAGTGATCCTTAGAGCGGATCCAAGCTTGTGTGCAACTCCATGGCACACAGTGCGGAATCAGGCGGGAAGGCAGAGGCAGAGCCAGGGCAGGAGCGGTGTGGGGCAGAGGAGCCTCGCGGGAGCTGAGGCGTTTCTTGGTTGCACCCCTAAGGCTGCGCTTAGGCCTGAGAAAGGGGAAACACGGAGGGGCACCGTTCGGCAGGGCCAGATCAGGGTCTGCCGACACAGTGCTGGTGTACGCAGGCACACAGGAAGGGGCTGTGTGCAAGAAAAGTCTGAAATAGGAGATGGAGAGGACTGCACTCCAGGGCAAAACGGACGTATTTTTGCCCAATAAACCCTCACCAAAATGTGGCTTTACYTTGACATCTGCTTGCCCATTTTGGTTCAGATTAAACTTTTAATTCTAATAAAAAAGGTAAAACTTGTTATTCTAAAAGCCGCTTTCCTACAGCCTTAAAAACAATGATTACAGACTGTTACTCCTACAATGCAAATAACAGAGTTCTAGTTACACAGCATGAATGCATGTGAATAGGATATCAAATGCTAGGTAAATGAGTCACATGAACCCTGTGGCTGAAACGAAACTTTCGCAGTGAGTTATTATCCAGTGCCAAGAAGTTCTTCACACCACACAGTATTGAGATTATGGTGTGAAAGAGGAATATAAACATCAAAGACGGAGATCTCAATCCAGGCCAGGTTGTAAATGAGAATTAAACCTCATTTGGGTGGAAATCCCAAACTGCAATCCAAATAACCTTTGTTTACCTTAAAGCAATTACACTTCTTTTGGAAGATGGGAGCTGTGTGTCCTGCCTAAAACCTAAAGTTTTCCCAGGTTGAATAGCTCTGCTTTGGTATTTGCAAACCAGGAACCAAAATATTCTTAGTATTATTCCCTTTATAAATCCATCTAGGAAACAATCACACTTTATGCCTTGCATGCAGGCACGACAAGGCCACGACTGACRGCAGCTTCGCACTGCTGCCAGGCAGTGCACATGGAATAGTGAAATGTTCTAAATAAAGTTCCTGGTTTCGCACGGGGCCAYGAAGATCTGAATTCAGTACTGTGGCCAGAGGCAAACAACAACATGGTGCAGAAGAGAACAGAGCACGCACGCAACAGTGCTACAGAAGGAGAAAAGACAAACTCTGCCCTTCCTGGTGAAGCCCTTTCTCCACACAGTGAAGTATTCCAGGTTCATGAAAAGAAACAGAAACAAGAAGACAAATTTGTAGCTTTATTGGCTCAGAACTCAWGAGAGAGGATGTCTTAAGCTCCAATTCAACTCTGAAAACACCACACCCAYCCTAGCCCAAAACAGTAGACCTACAATTCTGAAACCAAAGCTCCCAGGCTATCATCCAGCATGGATGATACATTCACAACACTACATTGGCTAGTGAGTTTCCTACCTTACCTCGTTTTAGCCCTACAAATCTGTATTTTTATGTTAGCTCAGTAACAGACAGGACAGATGGAGACTGTTTCCTACACCATCTTTTCAACCTCAGCTACTCTGTACCTAGCTGATTGAGAAATGCTCCTAAAAGGCCGGAGAGAAAGAGCTGAAATCCCTACYAACCTTCTTCTTCTTAACAGGAAAACAAAATCTCATTCTTCTATCTATTTTACCACTAGATTACCACCCACAGAAGTGGGACAATAATATTTATTCTCTCATGCACAGAAGCAGAAGGCCAAAAACAAACTTTCCTTAATTCTAGGGAAGAATAGTCAACTGCTTAGAGAGGTTCAGAAGCGAACAGAGGTAACCTCTGCAGCCCAGATTCACATACAAACATTTTTCTACTTGCTACTGTGCATTCAAGTGTTTAGTTTTATTCCTACTTCCACCCATGGATTACATGTGAAGTCAAAGCACCTAACACAGCTTTCCAGCTCCAGTTGGAAGATTAAACAATTAAACTGTAAATGCATTGCTCCTAGCTTGTTGGTRTAGAAGAGCTTTATTGAATCTAGTTCTAAATCTGAACTGTTATGTATGTATTTTCATTTTATAAAGGAAATTATATATAACAAAGCATTTTCTTTGATTCAGGAATGAATTTTTGGTGAATCTTTATTGAGTAATGTATTTAATAATTTTTAGATAACACATGCCAAAGCTCAGGAAACACCTGAATATTCTACTAGAGTTGCCACGAGCCTGTCTCTCTATACTGATTACTGGCTGGCTGCTGGCTGTAAAGACTTGGGAAGGCAACATTATCCTTTACAGACTTTGTGAAAAATTGCTTAGGAAAACACCCCTTGCACAAGCACTATCAAAGAATTCTGGAACCTTTGCTACAATATTTACAACTACATACGCATAATGGTAACTTGTTAGACTCTGTGCTGAGAGTTTAAACCTCACTGTGTACTTGCACCAACCCTGTAGCTAGTTGTTTGACTTGGAGATGCTAAACACATTGCTGACAACATTGTTCTTTGGCATGCTGTTAACAGGAAGAATTACTGTGCCTTAACTGTGTTAGTCTTCTCTGCCTTTAACCCTCCAATCAATCCCTAAGCCTTCCATGAGAAATTCATCTATGATGTCAGCCTTTGAGAAGAGAGTATTTAGTAAATCTGAAGCTCCAATTCACCAGCTGCTGGAGAAGACAAAAAGAACTCCCTCTTCTGCATAGACACAGACTGGCAGTGAGATGTTATTCCTAAATCTACCCGAACATTTTGAGCATTGACCCCGGAAAAATAATTCCCGTGGCTGCCTGTCCTCTTCTGGAGCTTTCGCAAGAAACAGCGCGGGCGTTATGAGTCTTCCAGGACCTCCAGGGCCTGTTTCACGCTCTCCTAAGCAAGAAGTTATGAGCAGGCTCTGTGGAAAGGGTCAGACCTTCGTTAGCCCCGCTGACGACGGCGCTGGGACAGGCAGGGAGGGCAGCCCAGGAGGAGGCTGCCGGAGGGCTCAGGAGGGCTCAGGGAASCGGAGCTTGGGACGGCCCCGCTCGGGACCTGCTCTAGTGGCAGCGACAGTCACTAGGGCTTTGTYGGCCCCTTTGTGAGTTAGAGAACCAGGTAGCTTAACATTCTGCTAATGTTTAGAAAGCCAGAGTCACAGTCAAAAGTTAAGACTGTAATTATTCAAAGGAAGACTTAAACTCCGATTAACCTTAAGGTCTTTTTTTTTTTTTTTTTTTTTAAGCCTGCTTCAAATCCTGCTGAAACTCAATGTTTTACAGAATACTCTAATTCTTCTAAGCTAAATCAAGTATCTTTTACTTATCATTACATGAACAGATATCGCTAAAAACTGAAATTTTGCATAGAGAAGAGGAAATGTTTTTAAAAATTAGTCCTTAAACTTAGCACAGTGTTATAGTTTATGCCATATACCTCTAGAATTAAACACAAAGCTAGCAGATGACCTTTAAAGCAAAACTCTGGTTTTGCTTTATAGTCCTTCTACCAAGGTTAAGCGTGCTTTAATTTTACTAATTTAATTTTACTAATATTGGAAAAGATGTTGACTTAATATGATTCTTTTTGAATTTGAAGATTGTTTTAAAAATTGACTTCTAATGGACTTCTTTTTTTTTTTTTTTTTTTAATTTTAACAGACAACAGGCCTAGAGAGACTGCAATAACTGCTCAGGTAAAAGAAGGAAAATTATGCATTTCATATCATCTGATACGTTATCAGAGGAATATTTACAATAAAAAACTSTGAGAAAACAAGACTTTCCACACGAATTGTATCCCAAAGAAAACAAATAAACAATAACCTATCTAGAAGTTAAAGAGCAGGTATTTGTTCACACTAGCTTGTCCATGTTCATGTTGAACATTGGCTTTCTTCACTACCATGTTTTTATTCCTAATATCTAATAGAAGCAGTCAAAGAAAGCAGTATAGAACAATGCTGAAGTGTCTAGTCCCAGTATTTTTACTTGCGTATTTCTAAAATCATTAAGCTSGGTCAATTAATGACAGGGAGGTTGRTGGCTTAACAAATTTGTTTCAAACCAGCATTTGTTTCAATTTGAGGTGAATGTCAGGCTGAGTTTCAGTTTGAGCATTCTGTAGTGTGAAAGCCTTTTACTGTTTTTCAAGCTTATTTCAAAGATGAGCTGTGCTTTCCAGGCCCTCGCCACCCGGAGGGACATTCACACCTAGTTTATACCCCAAAGCATCAGTGATGACCACGTTTCCACACAGGAGCACAGCACCACATGCCAAGGGCTTGCTGARCACCAGGGGCTAAGCCTTGTGTCCAGTTCTGTGTTACACGTATGTCTACGTATGTATGTCTATGTTGTGCATAATTCTACGTGCTGTATTGGCCACCACATTAACACAACGTGCGTTGCCAATAGGAAGCAAGGCAGGAATGTGGTGGCACCAACGCGATGGGCTCTGAGGCACCCACGTTTCCCCGCGCACTCCACGGGCTGTTGCCTCAAGACTCAGACTTCCCTGAAGTCTGAAGGCAACTTCAGCAACCGCCCAACTCCAAACGGTCTCCTGGCTCCCAGACCCCGTCCCGCCAGGCTCTGAGCCCGCCCGGGGCTCGCGACGCTCCCCGGGCGCGTGAGAGCAGACCGGTTACGGGCGAGCAGCGGGCGGGCGCTGCAGCGGGCGCACGGACGGTGGGCGCACAGACGGACRGATGGACGGACGGACGTACCACGGTGTTTTTCATCATGGCTTTGATGGTGAATCCGTCGCTGACCTGCGGCTTGCTTTTCTTCACGTGCCCCAGCGGCTCCTGATGCTGCTGCGGCCGCCTGTCACCCACGGCCTTCGGCGGGCTCGCACCCGCCTTCTCCACGACCATCTCCCAGCAGCGCCCGCCACGGACGAGCGCCCAAGTGCAGACTGCAAAAAAAAAGCCCGACGGCGAGGGTTAGAAAACGGCTCAGCCGCTGAAGTCACCGCGAGCGACGCGGCGGCCCCCGTCACGTCCCGCCACCCCGTGCCCGCTCCCCTCCGCGGAGCCCCCGTCCCGTCCCATCCCATCGCATCCCGTCCCGTCCCGTCCGGTCCCGTGCCGCGCGCCGGGGCCGCCGCCGCCCGCC